GAGAGAGACGGGAAAGGAGAAAGAAATAGAAGAGGGGGGGTGACGAAAGAGAGAGATAAATAGAGGAGACAGACAAATGGCAATGGAGTAGAGCCTGTCTCAACTCTAGGATTCTAAGCAGTATGTTTAAGCCCCCGAAGGCCATACAGCTTGCTCTGAGCTCTTTACAACCAATATTACTCCATCGGACCCTAAAACACTAAGCTGTCCCCGTGGGATGATGCGATTGTGCGGCCACTGCCCGCGTTTTGTTTTGTTTGGGTTTTTTTCATGTTTTTTTTTTAATTTGTCACAAAACAATTATTATTTAACGCCATAGCCATGTGACTAAAGGGAAGTAATCACCCGTAATAGTCTCATTTAAATGACAAGTCGGTTATATCTCTTGTTAGATAATCTTGGTTAATGGTTTATGGGTTTGGGATTTTGTTCCTTGGGCATGTTCAATTTGTCATTCCATCAAAAATTGTTCTCATGTCTGCTGATGTGTCATGTTTGACAGGTGTCCATGGTTTTAGTGATGTGCCAGCATCAGAGGTCCAGATGTCTTCTTTTTTTTAACATTTATCTTTCCTCTATAGATCTACAGCTGAAAGTTATAGAGATCATATTTTTGGGTCATTTTTTTCTGACTGATGTTAATTGTTCTCTTTCCAAATACACAAAAAAATATTGATATTGATATGTTCTGTTTTCAATTTTTCTGTACATAAAACATGAAAATTCTTGGTGAAGAAGTGCATAACATGTCGTGAATGGCGTTACGGTAACTTGCATAATTTTTGCATACTTTTGCATTTGTCTCACATAATTTGGTCATCGAAATTTGCATAATTCTGCGGGGACAGACTAAGAAACATTCTTGAATTCCCGGAAAGCGTACAGTAGAGTGCACGCCCTAAAACACTAGAAAACAACTGACAAGATATTTCGCTACCACCAGGTACCCATTCTCCCCTGGGACAAGTGGAGAGGATTATAGGTGTAAAGTTCGTGTCCCAAAGACACGACATCAGACCTCTGACTGGATTTGAATCCATGATTTTATAGCTGAAAATCCGATAGCCTAACCGTTACACCACCAACGCCCCAATTACTTACTACAATATATGCATGAGGACACGTTATAATACTGTTAAGACAACCCGGGAAATAGACAATGGTTTATTATGACCATACTCTAGTGTACTTTTTGTACGAAGTGAAATCATATCTCCAATATAAAGCAAAAACATCATATCTGCAACACATCGATACTTTGTATTATTTTGCGTCTGTGTTTGATATTAGTAATAGTACGACATCTTTTCTTTCATTTCGATTTATTCAATTTCCCTCAATGACCTGCAAAGTGGAATAAAACACATTACATAATCAGTACTTATAAAGAACCCGACCCAAGCTCCATGTGTAGAGTGTGCTGACAAAATAAGTTACTTCTCGCAATCCCCGAATGGAGAAATTGGCAAAAAAAATCAACATTAAGGTCAAATTTGTAGATTTTCTATTGATGCCATCTTCTTTAAATATGACATGCCTTTTATTATTTCATACTTACAAATTGTATAAGCTTCACCTGTAAGCGTGACGTATCTATTTTCATAGGGCTCGAATCCGAGAAGTAACTCATTTTGTCAGCGCCCTTCGCATATCTACAAACACACTGATACTTTGTATTATTTTTCGTCTGTGTTTCATATTAGAAATAGTAAAACATCTTTTCTTTCAATTTATTCAAGTTCCCTCAATGACCTGCAAAGTGGAATAACACACATTACATAATCAGTACTTATAAAGAACCCAAGTTCCAGTTGGTGTTTTTGGGGAAATTTCTTTTTTCTAAAACAATAGTTTTGCAGTTGTGACAGACATGACTTATACCCGCGACTTGCATACGGACATATTATCATAATACTGTTCAGGTGGTCCTGGAACAACCAACAAAAGTGGGATCATCTCATCATGGTCGGTGTTGCCAGAGGAGACGTGTGTGTGTACCTCCCCATGCTACAGCGATGTGCCTCCTCCGTCCCACAACTGTTACCGCCTTCCTCATTCATCGCAGGACCAACAGATCCCTCGGAAAAACACCAGGAGTAGCAGCAGCAACAGCAACGAAAGCATTCCAGGGGGAAACCTTTCAGACATCTTCTCTGCTCCCGTTGACGCCGGCAGGCTGGGTGGAAGTACCCGTATAACAACGGGTTGACGCACGCGTTGCTGTGAGCGAGAATAAGGGTCAAGGTCAGGGCTGTAGAGCTCACCCTTGTCTGACTAGATGCCAGGTTGCTGATGACGAAAAACGGGAGCCACATTAGGAAGAATGTGAGGACGATGGCGGAAGTGAGGCGGACGAGCCGGTCTTGGCGTCTTCTGACGTCGCACGATGGGCGTGGCTGCTCAATCACGTGACAGGACGATGCTGTTGTTGTTGGTCTCCGGTGTGGGTGTGGGGGTGGCTGAGATCTGTCGCAATACTGGCTACTTTGAGTCATAGAAGGTCCACACGTCGCCATGTCCAATGAGGCTTGACTTTGTCGAGTAATATTCCGAGATGAATTCATAACGATGACGTAAATATACGCGTAACACGCACAAGTGATGACAGTCGGCACAAAGAAACAAAGAATGGCGATAGAAATCAAGTACGATGCAGCGTCGAAGCCATGCGGCCATGACACCCCACAAAACACGCGCTGCTGACAGAACTGTGTGCAATTCTGAAGTAATCCATCATTGCTTGCCACGCTGCTAGATCTACCATTACTAGTTTGGTTCGACGTACAAATTTGAAAATCAGAGCCTCCAATACTGGCGGTCAATGTGGTCTCCGCAACAGCGACTGGGGCAGAGAACACCAGGGAGATAATCCAGATAATGACGATGATCAGCTTCGTAACTGTTGTTGAAAGCCTCAGTTGTCCCCCTTGGCGAACGCAGAGCAGACGATCGACGCTGATGGTGGCAAGGGAGAGAAGCGAGCTCATACCACAGACAAACTCCGTGTAGTTTACCTTGAACATAGCAGGAAGAAAACGTAAATTTATGTATAAGACTATAAGTTTTAATCAGTCGCATCATTTTTCAATAACCAAAGATAAGCAAAGCGGTCGAAACTATTCTGTACCCCCAGCAGGCGGGAGGGGGGGAGGTTAGTGTGTGTGTGT